TCTGTGCAGCCTTCACCACTCTCTGCAAAGCTTTTCTTTCTGCAGCTGTGCAGCCTCAAAAAGAAAAGCTTTGCAGAGAGTGGTGAAGGGATATATATATATATAATACTTAATTACACACATTTGAGTAGATGCAATAAATTACTTTAATTCCTGTTTAAATACAATTCATCCTGCCATACCTGCAGTGTCTTCAGACTTTGCCAGCAAATTAAAAGTGGAAGCTTAATCATTAAATTATTATCTTTGTGTTAGATTTATTTATAAATCACATTTAAACACTGCTTGTACCAACCAATTAAATTAAATAAAAAGTAACACACACGTTCTCTATTATCACCGTCATTAATCAGCAAACAAACAAACTTCATCTACAGCTTCATCTACCAGACAGACTGACATTACATTTTCTCTCTTGGACTCTTAACAATGTGTTAAATTGTAGAGACTGACAAACCTGCAACACGAGTTGGGAGTGAGACGAGTTGTATCTGCTCTTTAGCTCCTTCCTCCTCCTCGTGACTCCGACATGTTTACGTTTATCAGCATGGTTCCACAGTGTCGTGTCGGCTATTTTCAAAGCGGCATGCTTCTCATTTTTTATCTTTGTGAAGAGCTCCCACACTTTGGAGGACTTGGGTCGAACAGTTTTCTCTGCATTGGTTATTTGTAAAATTTACTTATTTTCCTTTGAAAACACCCCCTCGCTCTGTTTAACTCGTGCTGCAGAGTTTCTTTTTTTTCAAACTTTATTCAGTCAGTCAGCATTAACAATGAACTGCCCGTAAACAAAACGAAACGGCTCCACAGCGCCGTGAAAGACGCATAATCGCGCGACACAACGAATCGATAATGAAATTCGTTGCAAACGCTTTTAATCATCGATTTTAGCGATTCGTTGTTGCAGCCCTACTTGAACTCCTCCACTTGAGGCAGAACTTCACCCTCAACCTGAAGAGCTCAATCCACCCTTTTCTGTCTGAGGACCATGGTCTCAGATTTGGAGGTGCTGATTCTCATCTCAGCCACTTAACACTGGGCTTCAAACTACTCCAGTGAGAGCTGGAGATCATGGCACGATTACGCCAGCAGGACCACATCATCTGCAAAGAGCAGATGGAATCCTGAGGACACCGAACAAGAAACCCTCTGCCCCCTGGTTGCACCGAGAAATTCTGTCCAAAAGTTGTGAACAGAATCTGTGACAATGGACAGCCCTGGTGGAGTCCAACTCCCTCCCTGAAGGGGTCTGACTTACTACCGGCAATGTGAACCAAACTCTAGCACCGCTTGTATAAGGACCAAACAACCTGTAACAATGGGCCCTCAATCCCATACTCACAGAGCACCCCCCACAGTGTACCCCGAGGAACCATATGCCTTCTCAAAGTCTACAAAACATGTAGACTGGATGGGCAAACTCCCATGACCCCTCGATGACCCTAGTGAGAGTAAAGAGTTGGTCCAATATTCCACAGCCAGGATGGAACCCACATTGTTTCTCCTGGATCTGAGGTTCAACCAACGATCAGACTCGCTTCTCCAGTACCCCTGAATAGCCCTTACCAGGGAGGCTAAGGAGAGTGATGCCCCTATAATTGGAGCACACCCTCCAATCCCCCTTTTTGAAGAGGGGACCCACCACTCAAGTCTGTCTGTCTGGTACTGTCTCCAATGTTCACGTGATGTTGCAAAGGCATGTCATCCAAGATGGCCACCTCATCATCCAGAAAAATTGATGATTTCCTTAAGGAAATCGAGGTGGATCTCATCCACCCTCGGAGCCCTGCCACCGCAGAGCTTTTTAACTACCTCGGCCACGTTTATGGACAGGCCAGTCCCGACGTCCCTCAACTTAGCTTCCTCTATGTAAGACATGCTGGCGGAATTGAGAAGGTCCGAGAAGTATTCTTTCCACATTCCTACTACGTGTTCTAGTGCCTGGAGGAGGATACCGATCCCTCAATTGCTAAAATGGATGCTAAGAGGTGCTTGTGGCTGTCTCGGCCGGATGTCCAGGTCACCCGATGCTTTAAGGCCCATTATAATTGTTTGCAGTTTTCATTTCTCTTCTTATTGATGTTCTGCCTTTCCATCTTAGTTCTGTACCTGTCAGACGTGTGGAAATAAAGATGTTTGTTTTCTGTGTGCAGAATGCTATGGTACCCTTCAAAAGCTCAAATTTTTGATTTGGTCAATTTTAGTTATTCAAATATTTTGCAGCTGTGATCTTTAGCAATTTTGCCACCCATCATTATAAAATGGAGAAAGTTACGGAAAAAAGTATTAAAAAGTAACACCATAAACACTTTTAAATGAAGTAGTCAATTGCTACCAACTACCCTAGTACAGGTAAAAAAAAAAAAGGCAGAAGATCACTTCCCCTAAATGATAAACTTTATATTTTGTAGCCAAATCACAGAACAAAATCCATCCATTCCATCTGCTTCATCCTTTTCAGGCCACAGGGGTCACTGGTGCTCATATCCAGCAGTTACTGTGTGAGAGGTGGGGGACACCTGGACACGTATCCAGTCCATCACAGCGGCACATGGAGACAATCGAGACAATCATTCACTGTCTCACTCACACTTAGAGACAATTTAGTTACCAGTCAGCCTAACATGCATGTTTTTGGTCTGTGGGAGGAAACTGGAGTACCTGGAGAAAACCCACACAGCACAGAGAGAACATGCAAACTAGGATTTGAACTGGGCCAACCTGCTTTCTGAGAGGCAGCAGCTCTACCAACTGCACCACTGTGCTGCCCCAGAAGAAAATCAGAACGGTCAATAAAAAGGAAACCAATAGTTCCTGTTTTGCAGATTTAGTTTTATTTGAAAAGGAGCAAGGAAATGTAAGAATCATAAAATGTATTCTACCGGTAATTTTTGTTTACTAATCAAATTTGTTGCCCTTCTTTTTGCTGCTGCAAACTCAAATTATATTAGAAATTAACATCAACTTCAGTCTCTGTGTTCACACTTTGAGCTGTAATTTATTGTATTGCCTTTTTTTTTCTTCCAGGTGCTGAAAGTGGCCATACTTGCAGAAAAGTATGCTGTAGACTACTCCTGGTATGTAGACACCATTCTGAACCTCATCCGCATTGCTGGGGACTACGTCAGTGAAGAGGTGTGGTACCGCGTCATTCAGATCGTCATCAACAGAGATGATGTGCAAGGCTACGCCGCTAAGACTGTTTTTGAGGTATCATTATGTGAAATTTTAACATGTTAGATACTGACTTCTGGCAAAAAGTGACACAAATTTGTCTATGAGCAAAACATTCAATTTAAGTATTAAGGAGAATAATTTGATCCTCAGGCCTTGCAAGCACCGGCCTGCCATGAAAACATGGTAAAGGTTGGAGGGTACATTCTGGGAGAGTTTGGGAACTTGATTGCTGGAGACCCACGGTCCAGGTGTGTACTGTTTTTGTTTCAGATCACCTATTTAATATTTCCAAGATCAGGTGTTGACCTTGTTGCTCTGTCATTCAGCCCCCTGGTCCAGTTCAACCTTCTCCACTCGAAATTCCACCTGTGCTCTGTGCCGACTCGCGCCCTTTTGCTGTCGGCCTACATCAAATTCATCAACCTGTTTCCAGAGACCAAGGCTACAATCCAGGAAGTACTGCGCTGTGACAGCCAGATCCGCAACTCCGATGTGGAGCTGCAGCAGCGAGCTGTCGAGTATCTGAAGCTCTCTTCCATTGCTAGTACAGATGTTCTGGTTAGTTCTGGTGATCCAGTTTTCTTTAATTGACTCCAGCTTGGGTCACAATCCAGACAGCATCAGTGATTTAGCATCATGTTATCGATTACCCAGACCATTAAACAGTCTATAAAACATGCCAGCACAGCCAGACTCAGTGCTCTTTTCTCTGTTCACTCAGGCCACAGTTCTGGAGGAGATGCCTCCATTCCCAGAGAGGGAGTCCTCTATTCTGGCGAAGCTGAAGAAGAAGAAAGGGCCTGGGGCCGTTTCTGTGACCGAACTAGAAGACGGCAAAAGGGAGGGTGGCGAGTTGAACGGAGGAGGCGAACGTGGGCCAGATGCAGCAGTCATGGCTGCCTCTAACGCAGTAAACAGACTTTCTGTAGAGTTTAATACCCCTGTTTTTTTTTGTTGTCTTTCTCTGCTAAAATGCACTGTGTTTCTCAGTCCACCCCATCACCATCAGCAGACCTCCTTGGCATTCGTTCTTCTGCTCCAGTTAATACTGCTCCAACCAGTACTGGCAGTCTACTGGTGGATGTTTTCTCGGAGGCAGGGCCGGCGGCATCTTCTGCTGCTGTGAACGATGATGGCTTCCTCAGGTAAATATCATATGTTGGTCAGCTGATGGAGAATTTGCTGCGAGTCCAATATGAGCTGCAGCAACTACTATTAATCTAATAATGAATTCAACACTATAGATGAAATGGCTTCTAGGAGACAGCCACCTCTAAAACTGGACCACAAAAATGCTGATGGACAGCAGGAGCATAATGCACACAACTCTCACACTCATTCATAAATGCAGCAAAATGTTTCACTGTTTTACCACAGTTTATCTTAAAAACAGACTATTTTCAGTTGTAGAAAATGACTTCTTTAAAGGGATCATCCACTACTAACACATTATCCTTAATGTTATCTACGAAAAGTTCTTTGACATGTGAAAAACCCCTAATTACATAATTGTATATGTTCATCACATTTTTCAGTTAGACATCACCATTGTTTTACCAGCTCAATGCATATTGGGGTGAGGACGTGCATAGATTGGAGTCGAGCCTAAAATACAAGGAGTCATGGTTAAAGATTTATGTATGAAAAAGTTATAGTTTGTGTTTTTCCTTATGCTGTCATGTGCAATATATGGGTCGAAACAATAAAACATGATCAACTTGCGATTAACCGTGTTTTCTGCCGTAAATGTCGCACCGCCCTGTAAGTGGCATCAGTCCATATATGTCTAATAAAGAGGAAAAATCCATAAATATTTCGCTTTGCCGTATACGTCTCATCTATTATGCATCAATGCTGACGCTTCACATTTGTTACGCGTCACCACTGACAACCTGGAAATGCGGGCCGGTGTTGTGCCAAAAATAGATTGGCTGCCAAATGGCGGCCGCGGGAGTGTACACAGGAGGACTTTTAACAAGAATTTAACAAGATTAACACTTGAAAACAATTATTTGTTTGCTCAACATTGTAGTAAAGATCTGTCTCAGTCTAACTTTTACTTAATAAATGTACTTAAATGGTCAAATCAGCTGAATTTCACCGGGGCGGTGCAGCGAAATGAAGCTGATTTGACGGTTGCTCCAAGCGAGCAGAACGAAGGTGGCGGGGTATGGCAAGCCAATTGTGCCATTAATAGCCACTTTTACCTACTACATGACACAACTACATGCCATACTACTCGAGTGCCATCTAGCGGCCGAAAATGGTAGTGCTTAATATTTTCAGTAAGAATGAATGAAAACGGTCATATCCCAGACAAAAATTGGTTTATAAATATGAGAAAAATCTATAAATACGTCACTTCTGCGTATAAGTTGCAGGGCATGTAAATTGTACAAAAAAACGTTTGTTACGTACTGTAACCCCAGATTCTATGAGTATAGGCGTAGCCCTTTAAGGCTGTCGCTGATGGGTTTATCCCGATATGCGAAGCATTGCACTGAAAAATTTAGTCCACGCCCACCTGCTGTGTGGGCCCCACCCGGTCTGTATAAATTACGTTAAGAGCAGGTAATCGGCTCCCAAATAGCTTTTTCTTCAGCCATTTAGGAGCCAGTGAGGCCCGACGCTTAAAGGGCTACGCCTATACTCATAGAATCTGGGGTTACAGTATGTAACCAACGTTCTATTTCGTATAGGCTTCGCCCTTTAAGGCTGTCGCTGATGGATTAAGGGCGAAGCGGATGTTGTCCTCGCCTCACTGGGTCCATTCGAACACCGTATGAAGCAGAAGCTTGCCCAAAAAAACGTCTTGTCACTCAGCTCCTCGTGCGTAATTACGCATTGCGTAATTATGTGTGCCATGCACAGACGCATGTTGTGTTACTATGCGTTCTGAATGTAAGAACGCCCCGGAAAATTTCCAACGGGAGGGAAAAAAGCTGAAAAAAGCCATGAACCAACCGGTTTACAGCTGAACAGTATAAACAAATTAATAATAACAGGAGAGCTGATTATTAATCAAATGAACTGATTGGTAACGATAGTCGTGAACTGATTAGTGACAATAGAACCAAAATAACAATCACAACTTGTGACCGATAACATTTCACACTGTAATGTATGCAGACAGATGTGAGTAAAACGGAGTTCCATGAAACAACAATATTCATTCTGTAAACACTAAGGACAGAATGTTTCATGGGACGAGCCGTCACATCACGTAGATAAAAGCGAATAAATGAGCAGGGTGTTTACCACGTGGTCGCAGTGCAAATGTCCTGCATTGTCATACCATTATGCAAGGCAGTTGAAGATGCGATACCCCTTGTCGAGTATGCTCTGAGGTTGACAGGAGGCTCTAAATCTGATGCTCTGTAGGCTTCAGAAATGGCCTCACACAGCCAGTGTGACAAGCGCTGGGTGGATAACGGGCGACCTGCAGATGCATCTCTATAATACACAAACAAATGTTGAGTTTGACGCATTGCAGCTATGTAACACGTCAACGCCCGTACCGGACAGAGAAGATGGGAAGACGCTACTTCTTCTGATCTGTGGGGGGAGAGAGAAAACCCCTCCAACAATATCGCTCTTCATTTAAAAGAGCTTGTGATGTTTTAAGGCATAAAAACTGGGTTTGGTCTTAAATCAGCTGAGCTGCCGTCAGCCTGAATTCTGAGACATGACGACGCGACAGAGAGGGCAGGTAAATCACTAACTCTATTAGCGGATGTTAGAGCCAGCAGCAGGGCTGTTTTAAGAGACAAGAATTTAAGTGGAACCTGATCCAGAGGCTTAAATGGAACTTTGATCAGAGCCTGCAGGACCAGCGTTAAATCCCACTGTGGAACAAGTGGGCGTGAAACAGGCCTGCGTCTCTGTACACCTTTTAGAAAACGCTTCATCAGCGTATGATTAAAAACTGTTCTGTCTCAGAACCCTTCGTGGCAGGAAGAGATGGCTGCAGCGTATGTTTTAATCGTGCTGGACACCAAATTTCTGTCCATCAGCTGTTGTAGAAAGGACAGCATGCCACCTAGTGGACATGAGGTGGCGTCTACACCCTTCTCTGTACACCAGCGCTGAAAAGCTGTCCTCTTTGATGTGTACAGTGCTGTGGTAGATGCAGCACGTGAAACCTGAATTGTGCGCACTACATCCTGTGGGATACTCATCCTCTCTAAGCAGATCCGTTCAGCGGCCAGACCACAGGTGCTGGCCTATTTCTGGGTAACTCCTGGTTGCTCTTCCTGCCTGGAGGAGAGCGTCCTCCCTCCACTGCAGTTTCCACGGGCGCCCCGACAGCAGGCGTTGCAGGACTGGGAACCATGGTGCGCTCACGCGTTCGGTGGCCACCAGGAGAGCTGTCAATCCCTCCTCTTGAACTCAGTTCAGGAATCGTAAAATCAGAGGAGGTGGAGGAAAACGCGTACAGAAGCATTTTGGGCCATGGGCTGTGGGCAAACGCATCCACCCCCAGCGGTGGTTCGTCTCGCGGGCTCAGAGAAAACCATAATTGACACTGAGCGTTTTCTCGTGACGCAAATAGGCCCACAGCTGTTATTTCAATCTGAGTCCAAATGCTCCGTCAGAGGATGATTAAAGGTTGTTCTGTCTCCGACAACTTTGAGACAAGAAGAAAACATGGCTGCAGCATACGATAATCGTGCTGAACGCCAGATTTCTGTCCATCGACTGCTACAGAAAAGGACAACATGTCGTCCAGTGGACATGAAGTGGCCTCTACGCCTTCTCTGTACACTTTTTACAAAATGTTTCATCAGCAGATGATTAAAACTGTTCTGTCTCAAAAATTTTGTGACGGGAAGAGATGGCTGCAGTGAACGTTTTACTCGAGCTGAACGCCAGATCTCTGTCCATCAGCTGCTGCACAAAGGACGGCACACCACCTAGTGAACATGAAATGGCCTCTACACCTTTCTCTGTACAGCAGTGCTGAAAAACTGACCACTTGATGTGAACAGCACTGTGGTAGTTGCAGCACATGAATCCTGAATCGTATGCACTACATCTTGAGAGAGATCCCTCCTCTCAAAAGGATCCGTACAACGGCCAGACCACAGGTGCTGGCCTATTCTGATTAACTCATGATCGCTCCTCCCGCCTGGAGGAGAGCGACCTCCCTCCACGGCAGGTTCAACGAGCGCCCCGATAACAAGTGTCGTAGGACTGGGAACCATGATGCGTTCACGCACTTGGGACAGAGGAGCTGTCAGTCCCTCCTCCTGAGCTCGGTTCAGAAAACCGTGATATCAGAGGGAGGGAGTGAGGGAGGTGAAGAAGCATTACGACCACAGGCTGCGAGCAAACACGTCCACCCCTAGCTGTGGATCGTCCCGTGGCTCCATGATAATTATAGTTGACATCGAGCGTTCTCTCATGTTGCAACAGGTCCACAGCCGCTCGCAGGATTTCTGCCGTGTCTGAGCCATAGCTCTGGATGGAAAGTCCCCGTGCCACAAAGGACCGTCTTTGGACATCACATCCGTCCCCTGTTCAGAACACAGGAGATGTACCCTACTCCAATGGAGAGCAGATTGGGTGTGCCCCACACAGCATCTGTCTCACAATGTGGCACATGGGTTGAGCGCATACATCTCCTGCCAGTTATGTATGCAACAGTCACTTGCTGTCTGTGTGAATCAAAAACCCTGATGATTCCGCAGCACAGAGGCAAAGTGTTGAATCACGTTCAAAAACTCTGTGCGACACTCCAACAACATTTAAATGAGCTGCTGTGTGGAGAACCACAGCGCCCCCACAGCTCGTTAAATGTGTGTGCCTCTGTGACGTGTGAAGTGTGACGTGTGACGTAGGTCTGCTGACGGAAAAACAGCTGATATCACTCAACTGGTTCACGTGAGTTGCACTGCTGCCACCTGTCTGTACAAACTGTTCAGCAGCAGCAGATGTCCAGATAAAGCAGAATTCTCCTCCTTGCTCTGTGCAGCGGCTGCAGAGTGGCTCGGGCTCATTAATGGAATGTTGTTTCTCACAGTTCAAAATTGACAAATCTAGAATAAATCATCTTTCCGGTTCATTGGGACCAGGGAGTGACGAGAGAGGAACCTTGTGTTTTCCTCTCCTTCTGAGTCTCTGGAAATTACATTTTAATCAGAAC